CCTCCAACCTACTTGCGATGGCCTCCACCTAATTGCGATGGCCTCCACCACTGATTTACCAAATTTAATATGACACTGTATCAAATACATCATCATACCACACCAGGCACACACTCCGTCACACGGTCCACCGCCCGCCTGGCCTGCTGGTGCTTTGGAGGATCTCTGAGGCTGTAGCTCCGACTCCTCAAATCCAACTGATGGAGTGGTGCTCACTGCCTGGTCCCCAGCAACTACGATGTCCATCTCGGTGCCTAATTATGACAAGGGAGAATTACAGTAACCATTCATGATTTACGTCCCATTTTACCAGTATTGAGCCTACACGATTGATCTGACTTGATCTGTCAGGTTCAGCTCCTGTGGGGTGAAAACCGAGCGTTGAACACTCCCGGTCTCAACGAGTCTCCTGTCTCCAGGTGGGTACCCGCCATGAGATGTATTTCCTCTAAGCGTTTGGGCTGCTGATCGGCAGAACTGCCGTCATTTTCTGACTTTCAACACACAGTTCAGCACAGTTAAACATTGCATGTAAAGTTTAGCAGCACAAGTGCAAGTTGCATCGTTTATTGCACCACATCGGTGGTGAAAACAAACATTCAGTCAAGAAGAATATATCTTACAAATACATTTCAAACACTGAGGCACGCCGTTAGGAAAGCATTTCCTCAATCAAGATCCTCAAGGGAAGTGCCCAATTGCACGCCCAAGCGTCCCAACCACATAAAACCCTTGAACGTCTCAGTCCTTGTCGTTATCAAGAAACTCCCGGAACCACACGCGCTCGAAGAATTCCAACCTCAAAAACGGGTCCCTGGAGAACGACCAAGAAAATCTGGCTGGGTTGACATCACAGTGGTTGCGTGTGGTTCAACTGTGCCAACCATTTGTTGCATGAGTTTCGGCATAGCTTCGGCGCATGTCGTCGACTAAAAGCACAGTGGGCACACAAATTGAGAAGGACAAAATGGCAATCAGCCAGTGCTAGCTGCTGAGAGCTTCCTTCTTCGGGTCTTGCCCAAAAAGCACTGTGAAAGTGCTTCAACTGCACCTGAAACAAAACCCTTGCTGGATGGGCACGATGCCGTGGCCTCAGGGAAATTTTGCCACAAGTAATATAGCCGCTGTAAAAGGTCAAACAGTCACCAGTTGTATGTGAACCTGTTGTGTCGACCGAGTGGTCTGCGTTACAAAAAGGTACAAGAAAACGAATCTCATCCATCAGCAAGGGCTCCACATGGAGCCAATCACCGGCACGAAGTTGGTCGAAGCCGGTGAGATCCGGTGAGCGAAACCTCCGATTGAAACCGGATCTCGTCAGCTTGGTCTTGGTCTGCACTGCAGTGCTTCGAGAACATCGAGGGGGACAATGGTGGGATTTCAAAGACGTCTGACAGGGACTCGACTCTAGATCATCCTGTACAACCTAATACCAACGGCCTAGTAGTGATGGCCTGCAACCTAATCGCAGTATTGGCCTCCAACATCCTCCAACTGATTACTGGATCGAGATGTACAAAAAATGTACAAACAAGTTAGGTCTCAGGATGTCTCAAGTACTGTATCTCGATCTTGAACGAAGCACTCACATGCCGCAGCGATGGACTTGGCAACCCCGTTTTGAAAAAGTTTTCCCAGTCACATGCAGAGACGAACCGTTTCTAAGACTGGGTCCGGGGATGAGGCAATAAACACATGTTGAAAATCACTAAAAGTTTCTAGTATTGTATCTAGAAGCTTCCTTGGGAATCGTTTCACTGGGAATCGTTTTCCCCTGTAGTAACAAGAAGCTTTTAGTATGTTGTTGAAGCTTCTTAGTAACAAAAAGCTACTAGGTTGGAGGCCATCGCTACTAGTAACAAGAAGCTACTATATAGGTGGAGGCCATCGCTATTGGGTTGGACGCCGTTGCCCAGAACAAGAAAGCTTTGAAGCTTCTTAGTAAGAATAAAGCTTTCTCCGAAGTTGATGCTGTTCGCGATTCCTCGCCGTTGATCCAATCTCCATCATCCCTCCGGCCAAGTAAGTTGACGAGAACACGGAAACATGGCTACCTGGCTACCTGTCTTGCAAACGAATTCCATGAAAACCGCTGCTGGTCACCCAGGTGATTGGCAGACGCCTTCACAATGCTCCTTGTTGAGCCTAGCTCCTGCAATCTAATGTGGTAGTTGAATCCATCATGATCAAGCACTCAGTAGCAAACAAGCATCAACAAGCTAGAATCCAATTTAGGTGTGAGTACAAGCTCAAGAGTCGGGAGCATCTTCAAATGCCCTGATTACTAGTAGGCATATTTTGCCTGCTGTGCAGGGTTGACCCTTCGCGCCGAGGGTACTGGGCGCGTTGGGCTCGGCGGCATGGGCTGGCCTACTGCTTCACCAGTGACGATGGGTTGAAACGGGAAGGCCTGCAAGTGCCAACTTGCAAAGGGAGTGTTCTTTCCGGAAAGATTGCATGCGTGCAGTGCCTGAAGAGCAAGATATGCTCAAGAAACATAATGAAGAGATCGGCCGATGTCCATGTTATGGAGTTGGCCACTCTGCTTTGCTGAGTAGCTATCTGGAATCCGTGCGAAGTGGCTTAAATGTCTTGGTATGACGAGCTTCAAAAACACAAACTTCCTATCATTTCCTCCACCACATGCAAACCCACCTCTGCAGGTGCAGGCCTCACGGTCCTGAGCAACAAATTGGACCCCACCTGTAGAAAAGAGCAACATCATAGCGATGGCCTCCACCCTAGTAGGAATGGCCTGCAACCTAAGAGCGATGGCCTAAGGGCCTAGTGATGGCCTCCAACCTAATATATAGCGATTTTCTTTAGAAAGCACAAAATGACAAGTTTGAACCCAGCCTAGTCCCCTCATGATCCCGCACCTGCACAAATTGGATCTGTTAATTCAATCTGATACTCACCTGAATGTACTGGAAGATACTGAGTGGAAGCACACGATTTTGCCAACTGAAGTATTCATGAATGTCACCTATTTGTTTGTTCTAGCCAGGTCAAGAGCTGGTTTACGACTTACAACCTCTAGCATCTTGGAGTCTTGAAGCCAAACAACCAAGGACTTCGCCTTCGTCCCCCGCAACAGCCAAGGCTCCAATTTCCAGAGGCCTGAAGACTTCCATCTCGACCATCAAAATGGGAGAAGGTGGCCCTGAGCTGCGCCTGTTCCACATGGATGGATCGCCAGGAAGCCCACTCTCGGGGCCGTCACACCTCTGAATTCCTTCTGTCATCCCCTCCAGAATGGGCACTTTCAAAGCTATGATTTTGGTAGGAGAATATGATGGACCATCAGCTCTACATGCTCGACACCAACTGGCTATGAGCTGCTCGCCCTGCGAGCCTCGGGCCCACGCAGCATCAAATCCCCACAAATCTCTGCTGCATTGGTTGGCAATCCAGAAACCTCCTGCCAGCGGATCTCGCCTGGGCAGAAAAGCTGAGATCGTCTAGGCTTCCTGCCTGAAATGGATTCCAGTCACTCCAGAGGCCTTCGAATTAGTTTCCAAATCCACGCAGGCCATAAAGATTCTTAAACAGATTTTGGTGGCATATTCGCGCCTGGCCCCTCGCGATCCATCTGCACCTTTCCAGTGATCTGCAGGTCCATGCCGCTGGGCCGCACAGGCCGACTACCAGTGCCAGTGACCAAACCATCAGGATTGATGGTGAGGGAATACCTGGAACAAACCCTTGGCATTCTTTTTGTCTCCAAATCACAATAGTTACGGTACATAACTTGACGGAACAAAAGGTAACATTTCAAACCAACTGTTTTGGATTGCCCCCGACCTTATAAATAGGGCTGTTTGGGATTGCTCGCGACAAGTACCAGGATGTATAGATTGCATTTTGTTTCTATAATTACATGTGCCTGCATGTGCAATCATATGTATACTATATATATATATAAAGATGCAGCGCCTCTGTTTTGTCCACTTCGCAGCAGGTTGGTCAAGAAATATAACACAATCGAACGAATCAGACCGCAACACCCTGAAACAGTGACTCCTGAGTCATCTAGAAGGGTCGACCCAAGACACCCGGCCACACCCTGAGTGCAAGGGTTCGCCCTGGTTACTCCACCTTCGAACGAGCCTAGCCTTCGAGTTTCCCAGTGGTAGTAACCTTCAGGGGTGTCGGTCCACGAAAAAAGAAACTGCCCCCCCCCTTCCTTTTCTGGCTCTTCTGGAAGCTTTCTTCTTGCCCTTTCCACGGCCCCCTGTCCTTCCGCCAACGGACGGAGGCTCAAGTGTGGAGACTTTCGGGCAACGAATGAAGTTGGTATAAACAGTCAAAAAAGGCTTTAGGCGGAGGTCACTCCGTGGTACCTTCATCTGGGCGAGAACTGCTAAGCCCTCGTTCAAATATATTCTGGCACTCTTCTGAGTGTGCCAACGCCCTTGAAGGAGGATTCGATCTAAATTCTGATGCTTTTGGAACCAATGCGTGGCCCCACCCCTTCTCAATGAGTAGGGGCGAAAGCCTAGATCGGAAATACCGAGACCTTCTAGGCACGAATTGAAAAGAGCTCTCCACTTAGCGGGAGACGGAGTGAGGGCAGTAGCTGGGGTAGCACAGCTCTTCCAAGCTTTCAAAAAACGAACAATCGGCTCGTATCCTAGAACCACGCTCTCTGCGGCTCCATGGCGCTTTCCGCCTTTAGTGAAGCCAAGCGAAATGAGGGCTTGGAGCTGACCATCTCCACATTGCATATGGGATGACGTGAGCCCTAGGATCTCCCCTGTGCGTAACATGGAGTAGAATCCAATTAAAAGGGAAAGAGCAAAAGAGGTCCATTCATGAAATAGGGCCCAGCCAGCCATAGCGAGGACTATATGCTCAGGCAGCGGTGGCGCGCGAGAAGGGATCTCATTTGCCTGCCACGTCCGCAGGAGCCGCCAGGCTCCCGGCATAGCCCCGCGCAGGCTAGGCTGGCTGTCTTGCAGCCCGGCCAAGGTATCACAAGCCTGGCCTCGCCCCTTTCCAGTGGCCCACAACTCTTCCAGATAGTCACACACCAACGGGTCAACCTTTTGCTTGTTGGTGGGTAGGTCCAAGCCTTCATGACGTAAGAAGGTGAAGAACTCTTGGAGCGCTTTATCATAGCGCTTGCGTGTACTGGGTTGCACCGTCAATTGCCTCAAAGTGCCCATACCTCGCCTAATCTTACCACGCTCCTCTGGTGTAGCTGCTTCTAAAATTCGCTTAGGCATTGCGATATTTGGTACGAACCCGCTGACCCCAGCGTGAGGGTTTGTCAGCTGGGTTCTGGTCCGTGGCCACATAGGCCCAAAGCATTTGTGAGTTGCTACACAGCAGAAGAGCGTTAAGGCGGGAGACGGTGGATCGAAGTTTGCGTGAACTGGTTCGACCTCTCGTAAGGGCATGGAGGCAAACGAGGCTGTCGGTGAGGTGCAACATGCGGCATCCCATCTGCTGTTGGTGCTCGATCCGCCATCGGACCGCATTGAGGATTGCGCGCATCTCCAGGGCGTTGATGTGCTCCTTGCCCCGCGTCCAGGTCCATCCACTCACTATCTTCCAGTGCCAAAGACGAGCAGGCACCGAGGCTCTCAGGCGATGATAGCGCACCAGCTGGGTTGAAGGGGTAGTCAACAAAATATCCTCACCTTTCACGCTGATCAGGTTAGCCAGCTTACGGGCTAGGAGCCTTTGAACGCCCAACTTCCCCCGTGCCTGACGCAAGGGCAGGCGAACCAATCGGCTCTGCAAGGAGGTCGCCGCTCCCGGTTGGCAAAGATCAATGATTGCTTGTGGGTTCAA